AATCTTAGCGATGGTGAATTGTGCTGCTATGAACATAGGGGTGCATATATTCCTTCTGATTGGCGTTTCTGGTTTCTTGGGATATATTCCTAGTAGTGGAGATAAATACCACACGATCTCACTCTTTTGTGGATTATAGAGAATAACATAGACTGAGGAAAAGGGACAGACCCAAAGACTGAGAAACAGCAATCAGGCTATCAATCCCTAGAAGGGAAGTAGGGGAGGGCGGGGGTAAGGGGAAGCCGAGGGGTCCCAGACTGCGAGAAGGCACAGGCCGGGCTGAGTTACCCGCCCCCCGCAGTGCACAAATTTTTGTGCACCGGGCCTCTAGTAAAAATATAAAAGAAAAAAAAGAAAGTATTTTTCTAAGTTTCAGTGTTTTTGTTTCCAAATCTCATGTTTCAAATCACATTTCCTACTTCTAAGTAGCATAAATATCAGTAAAGTTCTGTGACTGAGGGTTAGAAAAATCGAACATTTATCATTTTAGAAAATGCAGATGGTTTGAAATGTATTAGGCATGAAATGAATGAGCAGGTAGCATGTGATGGAACCACTCAGATACCTGGGCTTATTTTCTGTCCCAGAAGAGCTCCCTTATATTTGTTCCCCTTCTGTCTTTTTTCCTTGGCTTTCACCTTACCACTTGCTCTGAAGCCTCAGTGTTTTTTCCTCCTTAATTTACAACTATCACCTGCATTTCCTCTTGCCTTACACACCCATTGCACCTTGGATGTGGGAAAAAGAATTGCTAATACTTGATGCACATATACTTACTCAGATCTTCCAGATGAAACTTACTCTCGCAAGTTGCCCATCTGTCCACTTGCCTGAAGCATTCAAGAATGGCTGCCTTGTTTAGATCACTTTCCTCCAAAGACAATAGATGTACTAAAGTTCAGACACACTCACCAACTTGTCATTGACCAACATAATTTATTTTGGGCCCACCAACCTGGCTTGGTTTGTTGGAGATGGAGGGAATAATTAGAGTGTAATGGGAGAGAATATGAGATCCAGAAAGACAAAAAGAGATGATATATATCTCTTGAACAAGTCTTCTTGGTGATTAATAGTGAATAATTTTTTCTTCACCAGATTCCAGAAGATCGTCTCTATGAAGAATTAAACATATATTCACCAATTTACAGTGAGTTGGAAGATAGAGGGGAGACATCTCCCACTGACTCATAAGAAGCACATTCAGAACATTCTCATCCATAGGAAAGGATACAGAAAGCCAAGATCTTTGTTTAAGGGGATACTGGCAAAATTTCAGATCTCTCAATGATCCGCCAATTTTACATTGTGATTTATTTTCTCCATGGTAATATTCTGTTTCTGTACATCTAAGTATCCCCGTTGTCCAATTTGTCAATATGATTGATTCCTGTTTTTCTTGTTTTCTTCACACTCATCTCTTCTGGGAAATCAATATGCAATAAGCATTTACTGTGTGCCTTTAACTGTGCTAATAGGGAAAACAAGAGGAAGGCTGGTCAAGAATTGAGTAAAATTTTAACAGTTTTATGTAGTTTTCAACCCTTTCTAGAATTCACAGAAGTGATGGGCATGATACACGTCGCCCACTAGGTTGTAAGCAACATTCAGCAAACATATCCTGAGAACTAATGAAGTGTTTTAAGTTTTCCACACTTGACTCTTTTACATTGTGTATCCCAATAGTTCACCCATAGTGGGTGCTGAGTGTATATTGATGGAGTGGATGGGTGTAGATGCAGGGAAAATATCCCACCAGGCCAGGCCAGAGGTAGAGTAGATAAGGAGAAAGAAATGATTCTGAAGTGAATTTGGAGGCAATAAGAAGACCAAATTGGTACATATTAAGCATAGACTTAGAAAGATAGTCAGAAATTTGAATAGAAATTCTGTAGTCATGTCTTAAATATTTTGGTGGATTCATATCAGGTTAACAATGGATGCTTCCTGCTTATTTTGATCTTATTATATGGAGAAACAGTATAGTATGTTAGAAAGATCATTAATCTTATGAAATGAAGGGAGTCTACATTGGAATCCCAGGCTGATTGCTTACTAGTTGAGTGAGTTGTGGCAAATAATTTACTCAATATGGGTTTTCTCATCTACAAAATTAAGATTAGGCGTAATTTACCTGCCAGCACTAAATGTCTGTTGTGGAAATACACACATACACATATGTGCTATAAATTTAAAATGTCCTAATATATATTATTATATAAATTACCTAATGTATATATACATCTAAGAAATCTCCAAATCTTACTAATCTCCAATGATATAAAACTTAAGTCTATTTTATCGTAATTTCAAAAGCCTTACTCTCTGGTCCCACTTCAACTTTCTCTTTAATATGGTTTGTGCTTGACCACTGCACATCAGCACCCTGACTTGAAATGTTCTGCTCTCTCTTCTGTACTTACTTGAATCCCTGCTTTCTTTAATGCCTATCATAAATCCCACCTCATTTTTTAAGATTTTCTAGCCAAGATTGCTCCTCTGTCAAGATGATGACTTTTTCAAATCAAACACACACACACACACACACACACACACACACACACACACCTTACACTATATATAACTTTTCTAAATGCAAATATTTTATATTTATAATACATTTTTTTTAAGATTCAAAGTTTCCTAAGATCAGTATATTGTCTGAATCATCAGTGCATTCATGGACAAAATACTCAATAATATTTGCTGATTGATGAGTGGGCAGTGGAGAGTTGAATGAAGTTAGTATCTGATGAGATAATAGGACATATCTAAGGAAGAATTCAAAATGAAAGACGAGTAAATTAATGAAGATCTTAGCTAAAATGAAATAAGTGGGCATGGAGAGAAATGATCATATCTAAAACATGGAGAGAAATACTAATCAGTCTTCTTTTTAATAAGTTGAATAAAAGGATAAATTTAGACAAGCAATTGGGAGTAATGCGTTAAGTGTTTGATTATAAGATCAAAGGCGAACACCTGGGATTGTTGAAGGAAATGACTGGGAGTCAGAAATATGCATTAATGGGAAGGAGTCCAGTTAGGCCTAAATTAAGCTTCGTTTTAGATGGTCATTTTTAGGAGACCAAAAGAAATGCAACTAGAAAGGGTCTGACAGCATCCACTACAGAGCGCTGGTAGAGAGGAAATATGCTGATGGAGATTTCTGTCATATGAGAGCTCATTATTTGGTGAAGCAGATTAACACTCTAAGATAATTATTTTGAGATAAAAGCGAAGCCAAGTTAACCTTCACATGCCTATAACCGGGGGAAAGTGGAAGGAAAAATATATGTAGGGTGGAAGATAGTTCAGAAAAGTGCATTGTGAAACAGTAGATAGTGGATAGCCCAAAGTGGAAAGTGATTAGACAAAGAAGGAAAAAGGTAACTGATCAGAGATAGTATCTGCAAGTTTGGGCAAAAGAAAAGCCTGCAGAGATAAATCAACTCCAGGTAAGGCAGGGAGGGGAGGGCAGAGAAAACACCAGTGGTGAATAAATGCAAAGGTGCAGAGAAATTCAAAACAGGGTATAGGGATGCGGAAATGAATAAAACATTTGCAGAAGCATTTAAAGGGAATTGGGGTATATGTGGTGTGAGAAATAATAGAGTGGATTGTGAATACAAAGTAGTGAAGAAAAATTAGCAAAATAATATTGCCATTGATATTTTTGTTATTAAGAGAAGGAAAAAGAAATTCAAATCTTTAGCCTAAGTAGAAATGTCTTGTGGAGGTACTGAAAAATCAGTATGGGGGGATTATTCACAATTCATTAATAAAATAATTAATTAAATTTTATGTGTTTAGGATACCAAAATTAAAAAGGGACAATTAGAAGTGAATTTCCCAGACTATGAAAGTGATCACATAACCACACAATGAGCGATTGACTTGGTATGACTATTTAATTTTAGGACCTCAGGTTTTCTATTTCCATTTTCCCCTCAAAATTTGACAACAGAATGAAAATATACCCTTTCACTGTGTAGCTTGCAAAGCTGTATCTCCACAGAGATTGATCATATCACTTCCATAGCACACGTATTCATATCCAAACACTAAGCCTGGTCTACCACGACCTCTTGAAATGGATCCAGTCTATTGTTACACTTGTATAAGATTTTATAATGCTCTTTCTCCCACTCGATTAATATTTTAACCAAATTGTTGACTGTATATTTTCTATATACACAACATATTTTTTGTCTCCAGACCATTCTGATAGTTGTCCTGTCCCTTACTGTCTTTTATCACATACCCACTTCAAGTACACACTGAGTATACAACTGCCATGTCTTCCACCCTTTCATTCCCTTGATTTCTTGCTTCATGACCACCTTACCCCATGATACAGTATATTGTCATTTATTATTTGTGTACTTGTGATCTCCTTGATATATCAATGACCAGTATTTCTACAATAAATTGGAAAAATTTAATTTGATTTCTTGTCTCTTGGTGTATGTACCAGTATGTGAGGGTGAGGGGCTAATCAAAAATAATAGAACTGAAACATCAATTCAGTAATTCCAAATACCAAGAACAGTCTAGAGAGTATTCATTTTTTCAATGTTTTATCAAATGAGACAATCTATTACTAACCTCAGAGACAGCAAACAGCTATAAGAACAATCTTTAGTCATCTCTTGTCACTGTGTAGTCAATAAATGGTGGGATGAAGTTGAAAGGGCATTTGACCATGAGTCCCATTTTTTAATTGGTCCTGACTCTAATTTATTTGTGAGCAGTCTGTTTTCTTTGTGCACCTGAGGTTTTCATCTGAAAATGAGCAGTTTGGAACAAAAGGTCTCACCTGATCTTTCTGTTTCCATGTCCTGTGCTTGTGGGAATCACAATTACTAAGTTTGTGTCTGGGGTAGCAACAGCAATCAGAGCTCTTTGCTATACCATCTAGCAAGACAAGTGGGACAATAACATTTGTTCTGAACTCCCAAAGAACTGTTTCTGAAAATTATCTTAGAAGTAAAATTTCCCAAATAATTCCCATTCTATGAAGTATAGCTCTACCTACAAAAATTACCTGCATTGGTGCTCCTATGATGTATTGGCAAATGTTTGCAATGGATTCCGTTACTTCCTTCCACAAAAGCATTGGGAGGCTTGTGGTACACAGAGGCCAAAGAACCAATATGGCAGATGAGCTCATCCAGCAGAGTCAGCCTAGTAAGATCTGTCTCCTCAGAGATTAGTGGCTTCTCAAGCAAGGCTACTTCTTTGGCTGTGACATGGTCCATTGAGAGGAACTGCCAATAAATATAGCCCCTATCTCGAAGGTC